CTACAAAATTGGCCCTGTGCTTGTAATCTTATCTTGTCGTTTTCAAAACATAACATCTATATAATCACTTAGCTATCTGAATGTCACCCATGTAAATTATTTATCTAATAACGTAAAACAGTCTGCCTTAAATTCCTCCACAGTTTACCTCTAATCCTGAATCTCTGTTTAGTGAAGGTTTTATTGTGTTAATGTAAAATGATTCTTTAATTTTTCTTGTCTTCCAAAATTTGTCTGTGTCAATGATTCTAGCTTTTTCCCAGTTTATGTTGTGTTTACCATTGGTTGAGGCTACAGGAACTCTCTCCTCCAATCAGAAACGTGTTTTAACCAACCAATCATAACACACAATCCACTAGAACACTATAAAGACCACACTGATCTAAAGACGAAAGGCAGAAGACTTTCAAAACGTCGTCCTCTACATTTGTAGGTTTCCACAATAGGCAGTTGCTGTCCTTTTGAAACTTAAATTCATTATGAATACTCTGCCTAAACAACCTATCAAAGATTGTATTTATAAAGCTGATGGGGTCTTTATTGGATGCGAGCTTTAGGCCTTAACTGGCAGACCATCAATATATTTATGATGTCACATTGTATACACAATATGCACGTAACTTGGTTTGTATAATTTATTAAAGAGTCAGCTCCAGATTCAATATCTTTTTATTAAAGTCATGATATTTCCTGCTTATAAATACTTTCCCCGAGAAGTAGGGTTGGGGCTTTCTACTAAGGTCAACTATTTGGTTTTATGTACTACTAGATGACTCAAAGTAACTATTAGTTACATAGCCTAATTTTTTGGTTTACCCATTTTATTCCTAAAGGGAAATTCTCGAAACTCTTAGCAGTGAAACCTTGATTTTTCCGAAATATCAGCTAGGTTTGCCATAACAGCATTGTAAAAAATCTCTGTTAAACTAAAATGAATGATGGATTTGATTTCCTTGCCTAAATAGGGTGCAGCCATACCCACCTTTTTTTTTCTTATTTTCCACCTACAAGTCCTGTGTGGATTTTATTGAAAATAAAAATTAGTCACATTGAACAAACCTTTGGTTACTCCAGTTTTAATAGTTTGGTGTGTTTCTGCAAGAATACTTAAGATTCAATAGACCAGGTAAAGTTTGGCTATGTGAATGTATAAGAATAAAGTAAAACAAACAGGTATAAAACTAGCACGATACCCTTTATTAAAAATGACAAACTATACTTTTATGCAATTGATAATTATTCACTCCACACAATTTCAAATTTTCTTTGTCACCTAGCCAAAATTACATTGTAATGTTACAATAAACATTACTAAGCACTATAGCTATTTCTTATTTAAGTGTGCAAAGTAATTATTGAAGCTACTTAAAATAAACAAATGTGATATGGTGGTGATTTTGTTTAGACAATTATCTTTATGTTCTTTCATTGAAAATAATAAGGGTATCCAACTAGATTTAAAATGTTCACATGAAACTCACGTAGTGTATTCTTTACCATAAAGCAAGCTAAGATCATTACAGCTGTCATTTCTTGAAACAGTGGCCTTCAGCTAATCATGGTAAACATTTTGTTACTTAATGTAAGCTAGTATAATAATCTTAAGTTTTAAACAATTAAGTTAAGAGAACTCACTTTATAAATACAAAACCTGTGTGGGTAAGCCTAATACATCAGTGAAATCAATCGCATCCTTCCTAACAGTATTACATTCCCAGTAGGTTTAAAATAAAATACAATAACTTTCACAATATAACTGACAATGAAGAAGTTGCTTTTTACACATCACTTGATTAAGTCTGATATATATATATTCCATGTTTATTTTATTTTTTTTATCTTTTAATAAAATAGCTAATGTTGGTAAGAAAAAAAAAAGATTAACACATTTGCAGAACTGATACTCCAACAAGTTGTTTAAGCATCAAAACGCTTGTAAGGGTTGTCATCTTTCAGCAAACCTGCAAAAAAAAAGTTAACATTTTCAACTGTGATGATAATGAAACAGTTAATAGTAGTAATAAAAAATAAATTTGTAATTTTGGGTATGATGAAAATACATTTGAAAATATCATGTAGAATGTAAATTTTAGTGTATTCTAAAATTAAGGCTTATATAAGAAATTAAAAGTACACCCGAGTTCTTATGAAGTTATTACTCTTGATGTCTTTCTACTTTTATTTGCCTAGTAACAGGCTTTAATACTTATACTTGTATTTTTTTTCTCTGTAAATATCTACCTTGTACCAGGCTGAAAAATTAAGTACATGTTCAATGTCCTTCTCCCTGTGCAAGTTCCAGCATGGAATGTCTTACAAAATTACAGAAGGTTTTAGTAGATCATGTACATGTTAAACACATGTATTCTTTTCTCTGTTTAAGTGAGCTTGAAACAACACTATTATCTACCTTGTATCAGGTTTTATAAATACCATTTTGTAAATGTAACCACTTGGATTACTAAACATTAATATATGCCTTGCACAAGGCTTTGGCAGTTCATGTATAAGTAAAATTCTTTTCTATAAAAGTCAAGCGTTGTAATGTTATTCAACAGCATTTATCTATCTACATTCCAATGGATCAATCTGCAATTTCTTGTTCTATGTCTGTGTTGAAGGAATTAGGTGTACTTTACCAAGTATTTCTTTCCTAAAGGTGCAGGAAACAAACATCCTCAAGCAATCAGACTAAATAAGCCATATGAAATAATACCACAAATGACCAAATTCTGTCATGATGGTTAAATTATATTGATTCCATTATATATAATGTGCTATCATGATGGCTGGCTAAAGTACGTTGATGAAATTGAATTAGACATAATATTAGAGTGAAAACACATAAATAACCAAAGAAGAATATTTTTAACAAATATTCAAATTGAAACCTGTATTTGAATATTTGTTTGTTTTTAATGTTATATTTTAAAGGGCTTTCCTCATATTGTAAATATCCAGAAGTCAATTTTGATTCTTGAATATAAGTATACAATACAAGCACTTTTCACCAATTACAAATCCTGAATATATATCTTCATGTCTGTTTATCGAGCATCATAACATTAAACAGTATCTTAATCAATGAACCCAATTCAAGTTCAGGATTTATAATATCTATAATTTGGAATTAACAGTCACAATGCTTTGTCCAATGATTGAAACATGATAATTGTCTTCCAAAGTTTATTGCACTCTACCCACTGTATTCAATTTCTGAAGGATAATGAACTGTGAGAGAATGAAATTCAATGACAGCTTTTTTTAGGTCAAGTAACTCTTGTGTGATATATACAAATACTTATGTGATTTAATAAATGTTAGAATTTGCCAATATAACATAACATCAAAATTATGTTCCTTTCTTAAGGTTAAACTTATACCCAGAAATATAACTATTAACCATAATAATCTAAACCTACTGAATATCCAGAAACACACATATATAGTTTTGTTATTAAACAAAGATCAACATGCAGTCGATATGGTCAAATACATTTTTGAAATGAGAATGTCCAGACTCACTACACTGAAGATCATGTTTAACAAAATGCATGCTGAGGAGAAAAAAAAGGGGAAACTTTAATAATTAATACACAGCCCAATTAGAAAAACAAGAGTAGCTGAACCATTGCTTTCTCATGCTTCTAATACCATAAATACAAATCATTCAGTAACAGTTCATGCAAAGAAATTTGTTTTAATTTCTCACCTGCTGAATCCACTAGTAGCCCTATGGAACAAAATAATTAGTTTAACACTATTTATCAATGAGAAGGCTCTCCTCTGGTTTTGATTATTGCCATTATTTTAATGTAATGTACAAACACTGAAGAATTTTAAGCCAATGTAAATAAACTGAATGTTACTGTGCACCCCTATAAATGTATAAAAAAAAGGGGGGGGGGTATGTGCACACACAATGTATAGAATTTATACTTGATGCAATACAAAATAAATCAGTAGCTGTGATACAGAACCATGGGGATGGCTGATAGAATTTTGGTACGATACTAATTACTTTATAAATTTAATTTTTTTACAGACTCCTGATAGTTGTCCTTTAAACTATCATCTTGCAAATAGATGATTGATTATTAGTCATAAACTCATTTTTCTGAATTGCTTTGAAAATATAGATTTAACGTTGAGTAAGACAAATTCTTAAAAATGCGGGACATTAATGGTTAAATCACTTCTTAAAGCACTTTTATAAATTTTACTATTGGATTATTTTTTAATCCCTTAAGACAAAAAATCATCTAAACAGATCAAGATATATATATATTTTTGTTTTGATACATAATTTCACATGCATGCAAAACAGTCTAGACCTCTACATTTGTACAACTGTTGCAGCAACTGAGTTCCCAACTCTTGTGTTTTTATGTTCCATGCAGTCCAAAAATTTTCAAACATATGTTCATTATGTATGTATTGTATTATTAATATCTTGGGCAACACAGTTCCAAAATTGTCTGACACTTCAATTTAGTAAGCTAAATTCTATAACTTCATTACTTAATAAATACTCTGTCTAAATAACAAGTAAAAGGATTAATTACTTAAATAAAAAAAAACTAACAAATAAACCTCATGTATACTCAGTTAACCAAGCTTTTGTGTTTTTTAATTAAACAAACATGTGGAAAAACTCAAAAATAGTTTGTCTTCCCCAGTGAGTAACAATGGTTAGCTTTAGAAGGTTTCTTATAAAAGGCTTAGCTGTAGCAGATGTTTAATTCTATATCCATCTTATTTTTTTACTCAACTATTAGTACATAATTATGCTATACTTAACTGTCTCTAAATAGTATTTCATGGTGTATAATAAACATGTGATCTTTACTTTTATGTATCTGCTCACTAATTCTGGTTATAGCATTGGATTAACATTAAAATTAGTACAGGACTTAAGCAATTTTTAATGAAATATTTACTTTAAAATTGAAAACTTTTGTATTAAAAACTTAGTGTCTCCCCTTTCTTTATATTGTTTTTTTTTTTTTACATTTTTTCAAAGCCACATCACAGTTTTTGATGCTCTTACAGGATTTGTACTGTATGGTGCAGATAAAATTCCATAACTCCTTCTATGACCAAGGGCACCACACAGATTAAATAATATGCCTTGGAACATGTCACAATAGTTATACAAAGTTGGTATAAAATTGACATTTTGAATGTTGTTCTTTGTCTCTATAAATTACAGCATAAATCAAGTCTTCAAACTGCTTAATAATAAATATAATATATTCTAAGTAACTCAAGTTGGGATGTTTTCTAATGTAATTAAGTCAATTTAATCTACTACTTTTTCATTGTTAATGAGAGGCCTCCTATGCTATGCTTCACCACCGATATATCAGAAGTATCATTACGCATTCCTGTTAACGGCATTTACTGTTCTGCTATAAGACAGTGTACCAAGAATCTAGGTTTTTTGAATATAATATGTGAAATTGAAACTATAAGAAATGGTTAGTTCAGGAGAATGAAGGTAATGTAATAAGTTAAACACTAACATGTGAAGACTTATCATACTTTATATGGGTTATCACACGGTCTTACACGTTTTTACTTAACACTAGTCAACGTGTAGTGAAGGCAAGCATAGGTTTGTAACTGCAAGCTGAAAACAAGCTTCCTTTAATTTATCATTTACTTAGACTGACAAACAATCATCAAAACATGAATTAAATATTTAAAAAACAATCTTTTTTAAAATTCACACAATTTTTTTTTAATCAGTTGCACATAGTAAAACATTTGTTTAATTTGTTCACAACATTCAACCAGGTTCACCTGGCAAAAACTGAGGTTAACAGTTAGCCTCAGTTCTTCATATTTCACCTGATGATGCCAAGTAAACCCAATAAAATATTGTGAACAACATAAAAAAGTTTTACTATGTGCAACTGATAAACTGTTTACATAACTACAATAAGTGTCACCAGGATTTCTGGCTACGTACATAACCTACTTTTTCTGACTTATGATAAACTAAGAGATGACGTTAAGGAATAGAACCCACCATATTTACGACGGATTTCATCAGTCTTACTCTGTCGTTCCTTCTTCCTGTTAACAAAAACAATCTTAATAAACAAAAGAGAGAGAATTTTGTTTTAATTATCTGGCAAATTTTAAACAGTAATGAACAAGCACTAGTTCTATTACCACTGTTTGTAAGTTAAGGTAACTTACCCTAACAAAAACATGAAAGGTTTATGTAAGAAGCTCACTGTTCATTGACTGGTTGTTTTGTTGAAAGTATGTACTTCTAGCAATATTTTATAAACATTGATAAATTATAAGGTGAATTTTTCCACTTTACTGATGTTTTTGGAATTTTTCTTCACTGAGTTACTTGAGTTTTTTTCAAAAAGGCATTTACTATTAAAAATTATCAATATCACCATTTTATTTTTATTTTATATTGTATAAAAAAACAGCATTTACCCCTACTTAAGTTAAAACGATCCTGTAAATTCAATTAGTGGCTTTGTTTATTAATACTAACAAAAAACCTAATTGTCAATAATCTGTAGGCCTATAAAAAGCTTTTCTTACTATTTTAATTTACACATTAATAATCATCATCTATCTTTACATTTCTGTGAGAACAGATTCATTATATGACATTTCTTTAGTGGAATCTGTTGACTTTTTTTTTTGTATTAACCTACAGAGATTAAAGATATCCCCCCCCCCTTTAAAACACGGAAAACTAGTCTTTACCAAAGAATTAAAATATTTTTCAAGCATTCTCATAATCAGTATGTTCAACCCTAGCTCTTAATAGTTGGAAGATGACTAATTAACATATTTTCCTTTCTCCCCCAGAGACCTACTTAATATTCTTCATTCCTATCTTATTTTGAAATAAAAAGTATTCCTACAAAGATATCTGTTTGAAATTCTGATGAGAGAAAGTGTAATACTAAATGACAAACTTTTAAATAAGATGGATGCCTAACAATTAATGTATCAGAATACAAAAAGTTACACTACCTTTCCTCAGCCCGCATTTTTCTTTCTTCACGTTGACGACTCCATTTAACTTCATCCTTTTCCATTCTTTTCTTCCTCCGTTTTTTACAACAGCAACAGCAGCAAATAATAATGGCCAAGAAAATCACACCTCCAATAACACCAAGACTTATGATAAGGACTTCAAAGTTAACTGGAATAAATATGTTTGATCAATATAAAAACTAAAACTAAAAGGAAAAAATAATGCTTTTCACACTAAGATTAAAAAAAGCATTACTTTAAATTAACATTTTGATTTTAAAATTTATTTTAGCCATTAATAGTACTATACAGATTTATTCAACTAAAACTTAGTGATTAATATCAAGCAAAAGTGCATAATACAAGTACATTTATGATGGAAAGTTAACATATGTTTTATACTTTGAAATCATTTTAAAAACAACTTACACAAAGAATCTATGGAGTTAATAGTACGTTGAAGAGACTTGAACTTCTGTTACCATATAATTGGTGCAAATGAAGCTCTATTTTTTTCAGTGAGTAAGAAGCTGATACATTCATTGCATAATTCTGTTAAGATTAATAAAAGGGGCACCAAACTGAGAATATAATTACTGTAAGTTACCAATCCTAAGGAATGCAATTACACACTCTCTACAAGTTATTTAATTATGCTTTAAGCCACTACGCATTTCTAAACCAAATATCAATTATTTTAATACAGTTAAAACCATCCCACCGGGTAGAATTTGTTCAGTGTTACACTAAGTCTTCAGTTTAGTATCGTAAGCAAAAATTAACATCAATGCAAAAATGTTCTCTAAGGATATTCTTCTTTAAAGAGAAGTACCGGCTGACGGAACCGTGACAAGATGTAAATATTCATTACGATTGTCTATCTCAGCTGAAGAGAACCCTACCTTTAACATCTCCAGCTTTAAAATAAAAGGTAAAAATGTCAAAATATTACATATCAGTCAGACTGAGGAAAGAAATCTTATATTTATAAAACTTTCAATCATTCAAAAAAGTTACTACACAGATGTAAACTGATAAAAACAAGTTGAAAAATTGGATGAAAAGCAAAGGGACTTACTAAGACAAGTGCCCCATGCCATGTCACCAAGAGTACCACATTCATCATACCGAGGCGCCAGGTGGCTGTATGGATAGTAGGAACATCGTTCATTTTTGTAGCAGTAGTAGCACTAAAGTAGAAGAACAATTTGTCAATTATAACTAACAATAAATCTTTGTTTTAAGTTATCATTACACATTAGTTTTAACCAGATAAATATTTGGAGAGGTTACAATATTTATCTAGAAAATTATTCCAATCATTGTTTCTGGGTCATGTTTATATACAGGAAATACTAATATAACAAAGTTGAACCAAGTTCACCAGCTCCAAAACCCGGAGCTAAACAGTTCCCTTTTGTGGTGCTACTGTTTCTCATTAAATGTATGTAGAACTTCTACAACTTATACCTACATCAAGTTTATGATTGTGTTATAGAATTTTAGGAGACAGTCTAAACCTGTTCACATAAACTAAGAAAAGGTTATATCTATTGCATAGGTAGTGTCTGTCTCCCATTTACAGCAGCCGCTTTCAGTGCCGCGTTTAAAGAGCTGCACACGCAGGCAAAGCTCAATATTCACTTTTGAAATGATGAGAGAACAGGCTTGAATAATGTTGATGCCAAATGTTATTTTGCAAGCAGGATATTCTGCACTAAATTAGGAATAAATCACACTATCATTCACAATTCAAAATGTGACATAACTTAAAGAATTTAAAGATTTATCATATGTTATTTTTGGGCAGCTCTTAGCATGACTGAAATACTCGATTAATTTTTGCAGTGGGCAATAAAAAGTACCTCAGAACTTTGGCTCTGAGTGAAACCAAGAGTGCAACATGATTAACCTTTTTAAAGTCCAAGAAATGATTTAAATTGACATATTAACTTAAAATTTTCCCATTATTGGGGAAGGGTACTTTTGCTTGAACAGTAAATATGGTGGTGATAAAAGAATTAAAACTTATTTTTGACTTTTCTAAGTATACTAACTAGTAATTTATTTTTTATTACAAAAACCACATCTGTAGAATATTCATGATTTTATCATCTAATGATTTATTTTTCAGTTCCTTCAAATATTGTCAATTATTATTTCAATAAAAAATGTCCAAAACTAAAAGCTTTTAATAATTTATTGTCAATGATGTGTGTAATAAAAATTCAGTTTTCCTCTTGTTCCTGATAGCAGTTGGAGTGACCTGTTTTCAACAAGTTATTACACAATAACCAAAAAAAGTGCTTAGTAACATCCTGCCAACTCATAATAAAAAGTTATACAATACCATAATTCTAAAGATGAAACTAGTGTCACTAACCTTGGCACTTGACTTGACACAATCATTACAAGAAGAATTGTGTTGAGCACAGACTGTTAAAAAAAACATACAACTTTAATTATATGCTGTAATATCAGATTTGATAATTCCAGCTGTGTTAGATCACTTCAATAATGTAAAAAAACCTATTACAGTTTTATAAGCACCTTAAAAAACATCTTGAGAAATACAGTAAGTGAAATAATATAATTTTGAATATATCTAGTACTACAGATTCATAGCTGCTATTTACATAAAGATTTTTCAAAAAAGAAAAAATTATTCATGTTCCCATTAGGTTTAAAACAGTTTTACTTTTTAAGTTTTTTATTTTTCTGCCTTTACTTGAAATAAAACTGCAGGCAAAGAAAATGGTATAAGCACACACACAAATGAACATGTTTCTTAAATAACATTTCTTGTTTCTACATCCATTTTATTTCTACATTAAAATTAATAATAGTTGCTGGTATTTTATAATTTTTCTATTAAATGCACACAAAAACATTCATGAAAATATTTATATGTAAGAGGTTAGAAAGTGATAACTTCTCTCTCTTGTTGTGCAGACACTGTATTGCAAACAACTTCTACTTTTTTATACTAAGAAATGTTATCTCTTCTATGAAAATTATGTTAACATTAACACTTGTTTCTGAATCAAAGTACTGATCTGCTTGCCTTATGCAATATATTGCTACTGAAAGCAAAAATGTTTATTTGTATATGTAAAGTTAGACTTCCAATGTCCTTGGGATTGTTCCAAAAGCCAGAGGTATGGTATAAGAGCAGAAAAACAAAGATTATCAGCCAACAGACTGAGTTCTGACTAAAAAAACAAAAAAAAGAATAACTGAATATAAAACCTGAATTAAAAAATAGCATATAAGACCAAATACCAATAGGGTAAAATAATAAGAATTATAACAGCCAAATTGAGTAAAATTTTGTACCAGGGGTAGAATCACCAAAAATTTATCTTAGAATTTGATTGTGGAAATGATACTAAATTAAAGTACAGTAAAATATTACTTTTACATATGAAGATTGATATATCAGGTTGTCTATTGGGTTTTGATATTGATTTTACAGAAATGGAAAAGATTTTTTAGTGAAGGGTGTTATTAGCTCCATTATATGCATTCTATCAGCAGAAGTTTTGATTGTATTAGGTCATCAAGAAATTAATGTTGCGTTTCGGAACACTTTCATTAACCACCCCTCAAGAAATGTACATCATGTATAATAGTTAAACGAACAGCCTAAACGTCATGTTAGTGTAACCTATATAATTTGTAAAGTTTAATATACTCTAATTCCTTATAGTGACGGCACACGATGAGACACATTCGGCATGTAATGCTGTTTGAATACAAAAACGAAAACAATGCCTCTGTAGCCACAAAGAAGTTTATGGAAATGTTCTGAACTTTCACAAGTGTCAATGATGGTTCAGCAAATTTTGTTCGGGTGACTATAGCCTAAAAACTGTGATGACAGGGACCCACATGTTAGAATTCATATTGATGCTCTGAAGATGCTTGTTGAGTCTAATCCAAGGCAACACACTCGTGAAATGTCCCTGAAATAGCATGTCTCTCATAAAACAATATTTAAAGATCTAAGGAGTATGGGAAAACTCCATAAAGAAGGTGTTTGGGTGCCTCACAAATTCTCCAATGATCATCGTTTCCAACGTGTGAACATTGCTTCGTCTCTTCTGGCGTAATGTGCGTGAACCATTTTTGGACAGAATTATCACCAGTGATAAAAAATGGATTCTCTATGCAAATATTAAATGTCACAAACAATGACTCAGTCCTAAACAAAAACCACTTCCTACCCAAAAACCTGGACTCCATCCGCAGAAAGTGATGCTTTGCATTTGGTGGGAAATCAAAGGAGTAATTCATTCTGAACTCCTCAATCCACAACGAACTGTCAATGCAGAGATCTATAGTCAGCAACTGGAATGATTAAATCAAGCCCTTCATCATAAATGCCCTTCACTCGTCAATTGGAAAGGTGTTCTTTTCCATGACAATGCACGTCCACATGTGACACGTTTGATGCAA